GCTAAACTGGAGTACACACAAGCCATAGCACTAACACACATCACCATAAAAAAGGCATGATCACGGACTTTAGGTAAACACATTTAAAGTGCTACAAAAAGCACAAATATGTTAGCTGAGTCACAACTAAGCAAATGGCTAGCAACAGGGATGTCCTCGATCAAACTTTAAATCTTAGCTCAGTCTTAGTCCCTTCTCCTGTCCCTTTACACCTGAAACAAAGGGGAAAGCTGTTTCTAGAGAGCAATGCTAATTTGTACGATGCTGGAAACATGCCGTTGCTACACTTTTCAACCCTGAAACAAATCACGCAAACAGTGAATCTACACTGTAATAGAAGCATGTTGTATTTACAGTGCTCTCAAATCCAGCTTCCTCAAGTATTATAGATCTGTGGGATTCAATACATCTTCTGGAGACAATGGTTCAGTAAAGAATCCATGTGCCATAGAGTGAATCAGTATCTCTGAAAAAATAAAAGCATATTTTTTGGAACAAAGCTTAAAGATATATATCAAAATAAAATTATATACATAATTCTCTTTGCTTTATGTTTTACATCTTTGTGTTTGCCCTCAGGCTCTCGGGCTGTCTGATCACTCAGGATGGTTGTACTTCTCTGGTATTAGCTCTGAACTCCAACCCCTCCCATTTGAGAGAGCTAGACCTGAGCTACAATCATCCAGGAGACTCAGGCATGAAGCTGCTGTCTAGCTTACTGGATGATCCACGCTGGAGACTGAACACTCTTAGGTATGATAGTTTCAGTATTAATGCTCGTCATCAATTAATCACATTGTTACATGTAATATATTAGTTTATTACATGCTTATTTTAAAAGTGCTGCTGTATGAGAAGTGTAATATTCAGTTTTAAAGCTTTTAAACAAATAGCGTGCTTTTTAACAGCAGTATTCTCTTAACACAGTAGCAGTTACAATATTTGTTGTGGGTAAATCTCACCTGAAACATTAATCTGATCATCAATCAATCTGACTTCAGGGAGGAGTATGTATCTGACAAAAATGCTC